GAAGCGAAATTCCCGCTTTGTTTACACTGATACGTATGCGGCGATAAAGCAAACCCTGCTGTGGATCACAGTTCAAAGATACATTTTGTCTACCACAACAACTCCCACTTGTTAGTGCCCCCTGTCTGCAAAGAAGTACTCGACCCCAAGGTTTTGGACGGTTAATAACTTCGTGATTGTGCGGATGGCTGATGCACTTACCGCTTTTAATGCCGTAAAGTTGTCGAGGATATATTTGAACCTTGCTAATAGACCTTAGATAAAGGTGAGAATCCAAATTTCAGAACCTGGCTGAAAACAGACGACGAAATATCGTGTTTAGGCTTCAGGAGGTGATATAAAAGTTGCTACACTCGTCTTCGGAATCTCCAATCGAGTGCCCAAGATGTTTGAAAAGTATACTGAGCTGTTCTGTGGAATGAAGTCTCGAAACTGTTAGGCAAGGCTAGTTCACGTTTCTATAACAATGCTGTTTTGTAGTGGCCTTCTTCCTTGACTGTGCCGCTTTCAAGGATGGCCAGCGCTCTTTTGTCTTCCACAGACAAGGTAGACTCAGAGAGAACCTGCTTGGTCGCATAAGAATCGATCTCCCAAAATCGTTCAACTTGATGTTGCAATGTGATCTCTTTGTCTGAAACGAGAAGGTTTGCATTGATTGTTTCGCAGTGCTCTTGGCTCACATTTCCAAACAGGGCTCTTTCCGTCGTCCGTGGCGGACTTCAAGGTAAATCCGGCAATAGGTGAGCCATGTCAGCTCCAATGGGAATCATCGCGTCACCACCTTCAAGTTCGGGAAGGTCCATATCTGATGAGAGATTCCTCTGCTCGGCGACCCTTTTCTTCGAGACCCTGAAAGATGGAATGTTAAGTTTGTCGATGACCCAAGCACCCTGCACCATAACTGGGTCTGGCTGATCTTTAGAAGAAAGACCAATGCTCACTCTGTCTTAGTTCTGAGCGATAGCTTCATTGCCAGCTGTATTGATGTTAAGACGATATGTTTCGCCAACGAGTTGTAAGCGGTCAGTTAAGTCCTTTCTAATCATAGTCGAATCACTTCCAGGATCAAGCACATCGTATGTTTTAACCCTGACTATGAATCTGAACTGGGAGCACTTTTAAGAGGACTTTCTGTTGAGACTGAACACAGACTTGGTTCATGTTGCTCTGGACGGTGGGCAATGAACTAGACACATTCAGAGTTACGAACATTTTCTTGTGGTGAAGCGGATGGTTGGGTAGAGCTACTTTGGCTGCTGGTAAGACTAGCACGAGAGTCTAGTTGATGCTCCTCATGTGAAGGGGTGTGGTGGGGAAGCCCGCACCGTTCCTTAAGACAACGTTTTACACGCGGACAATTCCTGGCTTAGTGGTTTGTTTCCAAGCATTAAAACAAGTCCATGGTCCCATGCAATTTTTTTCCTCTCCTGCAGGTGGTTAGACTTAATGGGGGGACAAAAGGCTTCAGGGTGTTTGCGTTTGCAAATGACACAGTTTTTTTCACTTGATGGGACTTTCTTCTCCTGCTCCTTGTTCGCTGATTGGGATTGGTCTTGCTCTGAATCTGACAGATCACGGTTCCTGGTAGCATCAGGAGAGGTTTCTGTTATCGTAGCAAGGGGATTTAACTCGAGACTTGGCTTTGACTTGGGAAGCCTCTGTTTCTTGTTCCCTTCTGCTTATATGAAATTTTCAAGGGGATTAAGCAGTGTTTCTACTCGCTTGCGAACAAGGAGAGGACTGGGGTGGTGGTGGTGGTGGTGGTGCGGGGGAGGGGGGGGGTTAATCTGGTGACTACCATTCTGTTCAGGGGGTATCGAAATACTGTCCGTCGCTAAATATTGCGGACCTCGAGATAAGCTCTGGTGGCATGGGACTCTTTGGCTTGATGTCGACTTGCCTGGATTTTTACTCTAAAGGGTAGTGTGCACTGATTCATTGCATTTGTTTCTGTGACCTAATGAAGTTTTAAAGGAGTAAAAGAGTTCAACTTTCACCTCTTCTGAAAAGGTTTCAATTAGCACTGTCATGGATATAAAAATTCGAACTGGTGGGATGCTGATCAGTTGCCTATTCACACAACGCGGTAGAGGGGTTGAACTCGGTGACTACCGAGAAACAAATCCAGATAGCAGTAGGGTAAAGGATTTGGACCAGGAGATCCAGATTTCAAATCCAGTACTTTAAACCACGCTGCCTTCTGTTCGTTCCGCTCCTTCCCCTTTCATTTCTAATTCCTGAGGTTTAATAATTTATACTAAGTTAGTTCCTGAGGTTTAGGAAGTGTAGTACCCTATGTGCCACGTGGAACGAAGGGGACAGTTAGCTAGTTGGTAGCAGGGTCGTACCAATCCCTCAAATCCCCGCCCTATTAAGCTACCTAATGGAATAATTGAACACCACATCTACGAAATTGAATTCCCAGTTCATTTTTATTCCCCATTTCTATTTCTACATCGCATTTCTCCAGATGCGTTTCCTTGGCTTTTTTTCCCTCATCCTGTCGGGACATCACCAGTTGATATTGTTGCCACTCACTCAGGCTTTTTGCATTTGTAATGGACCTGCACGAGCAGACAGAAGACAAAATAGAGTTATGTTACCAAACAAAATAAAATCTGTGCACTTTGTCCAATATATAACTTTTCTTTCGCACTTAAGGTAGCTCAAAACAGTTTCCAGCACTTAGTTTTTGATGGGTCATTACAACCACTCTTTATCACTTGATGCTGCAATCATGGTATCAAAAAACTGCCAATCATTGGTGAGCACGTACTATTTTTGTGACACAATAGGCTACCATAGCAACAGTATGACCTGCTACAAACACCCTTAATTACAGCTTTAGGGGCTTATAATCCAAAAACGGCACAGAGAAATTTTTTTATATTATCAAATTTTGATAAGCATGATAAAAAAAATAAAACAAAGTTGCGTACATAGGGTTCTGAGCCACCTTAAATTTTCAAAACTTCTGTTGCAGAAACCCTTAATTTAGCTTTAAGTGTTTGTAACTGAAAACGAGCAAGAAAGACTCCATTGGCTCCTTTAAATCTTCTGTTAGAAAAAATTTTTTTGTCCAAAAACTCTTAGCTTAGTTTTTAGTTGTGCATATCTAGATTTAGATTTTTTAAATTTTTAACTTTTATCATATCTTTAAATTTTTAGCTGTATTCTATTTTGTAATTTTTATTATCTTATGAGTCTAAATAGTTTTTAATTTTTAACTTAGGATAGAGGGCCACTGGTTCGTCAGTTTTTTACTGTTATGTGTTACCCTCTGTAAATAAAGTTGTTACTTACTTACTTACTTACTTATTAGCTCAGCGACCCCCATTTTGTATTATCAAATTGTGATAAGATTGATAAGATGCAATTTTGGCAAAGCTTTAAAAAGATTCTGTTGAAGGGATTCAAAGCCACCTTGGGCTACACAACATTGGACAACGGTAAGGGTGCGAATGTTGCAACAAATTATGATATACACTTTAGTAACAACATATGTACTGTTTTGTTAATAATTCGGGGTGTAGCATATAGATTTAGCCAAGCCTAAAAGCAGGGCTTCTGATAATACTAATATACTAATACTAATACCAATACCAACACCAACACCAACACCAACACCAACACCAACACCAACACCAACACCAATACCAA